GTTTGCACTAGATGGTTGCATAGCTAACTGTATTGATGAATCACGCTGGTTCGTTGCCCCTGAGAATCCCATCCTTCAGGTCACGTTCCTTAAACTTTGGTCATGCATCTCAGAGTTCTCAATCGGTTAAAGAAATAATAATCTTTCTGCTTTATATCGATACTTATGTAAGTTAAGATGCTTTGTGTATGGATATCGCATACTATCTAAAATCATGTGTTTACTGCCCACCAAGTGGATGAAGCTACCCACAAGATGATCAGTCGAAATCCGCCAGATACCATTCAATAAGGATCAAAGCATTCGCCATTAATTCCTTTCTTGAACCATCATCTTGTTCCTTAATTAATCATTAACCCGTCATCGTCACCCCACCCCCAGTAGGAATTCAGTGCCATGGCTAAATATAATCTGGTGCAGCTCTCTTCACTGTTCCGAACCAGCAATGGTGAAGAAACGCAGACTGATCCAAAAACATTTTCAATTTATGTGAACGACCACTCATGAGTAGTGTAATCTGAAAATCTGGAAACATACGTAATTAGGGTGGTTGCGGAGACGAACGTCCGGTCACTTTGTTAAACGCCAGCGTTCCTACGGGTTCTCTTCCTCCCATTCAAGGGTTAAGTTTAATAATTTATTGGTCATTTTTATTGCTGAGGCTCATAGTTTAGTGTTACTGTTAGGTTTATTGTTACGGTTAGATTGAATTACTGGCAAAAAAATCATGCGATGGAAATGTTTGCGATAACCGACAAAAGGGTAGACCTGATGGACAGTCGCCCCCAGGGAAACGTTTTTATGACGTTGTCTAGCTGAATAAATTTTACATGAAAATCATTGCCGTAAACGATTTAATACAAAAATCTAATATTGACATGTGTTAACATTATTTCTAATTACGTTAATTGGTTTATATGTTCACTCATTTTTGAAAATTCCGAAATATCGTTATCTCTTCTTGGGGAGATTATATCGTATTTCGTGCTGGACATTTTCGTGATGTTCGTACAAACTCATCTGCTTGAACCAGCAACTCGCAGTCCGTCCAGAATCGTTGAAATAAATGTGAAACTGTTGGAAGACTATCCGAAACTGTTTGGGTTTTTGTGATGTATGACAGAATCAAAAGAAACGATTGCCTAATGGCGCCGGATAAAGTGGATACTGAAGACCGTATTCAGTTATTTTGGGGACAGGAGGTCGGAACATTTCGACGAAGTTCTGTACCGATGTTAGTTTCACTTTTCGCATTCAGAAATCGAGCTAGATATATAAACTTTCTTGAAACACATCAGTGATCATTTTGTATATTTTTAATAATAATAATAGTCCTTTTCTAGTCTTCAAATGCGATGGAAATGTTTGTGATAACCAACAAAGAGTTCACTGGATAGCCGTTTCATCCTGTTTGGGGGACTCGTCAGCAGTGCGTACATTTTGTGTCCCTGACAGGACTCGATCGACGAACTTTCGAGTTGGAACTTCAAACCCGCACCGCTGAGCTACACAGTCGACGGGATCATCTTGTGCGAATGGCTCTTCACATTCGAATGGGCTAATCCAAGCTTCCTACCGTAAAATAGCTCAATTTTATTCTGATGTTTCCACGAGACTCACTTATTGGTCTGATTATTTTTGAAGCATTTCGATTGACTGTGTTGCCCTGTTGTAGTGATGTTCGATCTTGATCTCAGCTGAAGGAAGAGGTACTATGTCTCTGTTGTCTGTGGCTCCACTTTGTGTTTACTCTCGTCTTTAGTGGCAGATCCAATAGGTATAAAGGAAATTTGAACAACTAAAGCGAAAATGCATGAATCTCTTAGTTGTATCCAAATCTGATGAAAGATGATCGAGTTTCTAGGGAGCCATTTGGCAACCACGTATCGGCATTTAATCCTGTACTTGTTTGTTCAATCGTTAGTGTCAGTGGACACTAGCTTGAAAGTCATAGACAGCATACCGGGGACGATCACAGGGGCTAGGTAAAGCGAGTGTGGCAAGATGGACGCAAAACTAAAATTTTGAAAAAGGTGCAGGAGAAAATATGACATTTTCAAAAGAAGGACAAAGAATGAGAGCTTGCGATTGAAGTGTATCTATGGTCTTTTAAAACCACATTCTAATATAAATACTTCCATGCTACTTATGAGCAAGCAGTATGTTGTTGCGGCTTTTGCTTTGTGACTGTCGATCAGGTCTACCCAGTTAGTTTCACACGAATCCGCCAATCACGTTCTCCTGGCAATCCCATAGTTTGATTGGTGCTTCGGTCATGTTGTAGCGAGAAGGCGAGTTGGCTGGGAAAACTTTTATTGATCCAATTAAAAAACAATTGATGTACGCGTTCAATTACATGCAATCAATTCTTAACCACGCGGTAGGATGATTCATGCCTTTTTCTTTTGGTCAATCCGTGCTGGTTTTGGTCCTTAATTGGTACGTAAGTTGCCTCTCCTTCCGTGTGCTGTTCCGGTTGGTTTGACAAGATCGTATAGCAAGACACGTTGATCAGCAGCTCCGACGTAGTGGAATTCGATGAATATCTTTCTGGCTAGCTGCGGGGCTGAAGTTGTCGATTCGTTAGTTTCGGGTGGTAGTCAACATTGTCTCTCGAATTACTCCCTGCAGCTACGTCTTCGCGTCTGGTTGGCTGGCCCCATTCTTGATTCGTTCGCTAGCCGAGGCCCTGTTTGTACCGTCTTCACAATGTGACCTGTTGTACTCGGTCTGCCACAACTCTCGTCCGTTCGAAATGAACCGACTTCTCCGAAAACCAACGGGAGTACATTTTAAGTGGATTACCAAGTGAGAATGCAGGAGTTGAGCGTCCGTTCCGCCGGAACGGTATCCTCTTGATTGCATGAGGTACAGACGAGAATGAACGACAACGGTGTTAAATTTACCTTGGTCGATCTTCTAACGAAGCGAGCCATCGCAGGTTGAATCGATAAATCTCTGTGCTCAGATGTGAATGACGAGATGATTCCTAAATAATCTAGTGAACAAATTGTACTGAGGTCGAGGTTCCATCGAATGCCAACGCTTCTTTTGAACTAAATGACATTGTTTATATACTTTCGGCATTGGAGAGTACAGATGATAAACGTTTAACGAAGACACTCGAGCACAGAGAACGAATTAACAGTATTTCACATGGATTACAAGACTAAACCTGAACGCTTCCTCTGCTTCGGGCCCAGATGATTTACCTGTGATACTTTTCAAGTATGACGCCACTTCCCTAGATAGGACAATCACCTCCAACTTCCACTATTCCAGACTGCTGGAGGCCGGTAGCAATCATAAAGATCCCCAAACGTCATTGTTCCATATTCTTGACATTTCCTACCTTAAAGATAACTGAAAAGGCTGTCCGCAAACATCAATAACATTCAGAGTTTACTTAAAAGCCCCAGAGACCCCCCTTGGACGCAATCTTCGCTCTCATTAAGTCCTTAAATAACTCTAGTGAGTGTTCCTTAATTAGTCTTCGGCATTCGGCCCACCTCTCAGCCAATGCTATCACAAAAAGCTGCAGTCCATTGATTGCCCTCAAGCATTAGTTAGTTTGGTTATCCAACCATTTTACTGATAGAACATAAACCGTTGAACTTGGAGAGACTTCAGTTAATCAACAACTACGGAGATTTTGTTTGACGGAACTTGTTTTACACATTCATTTGCCATATCCGCGCTTCTTCGGCACTTGCCTTGAGATATGCTGATGTTAACCAATTTCTTCCTCTTCCGACCGAAGCTGCATCACTGAGAACCTGTTCCAAATACAACTTTTCTCTTTCCCATCGGGGTTTAGCTTAAGTCTTAGAAAATATGCTGAATGTTCATGTAGTAGTATCACGTAGAAAAGATCCCCCGACTGGAAGTTTTCGAACACCGACGCTTACGTAGTCTGGCCCGGGTGGGAGGAGGTGAGCGCGTTACTAACCTAGACATAAATCATCGTGTGTTTGACAATGTATCGGGAAGAGATTCACTATCTCATCGAATTCAGCCCAATAAACTTCGCTGGTTAGGACAGGCCTTATTTGCAGTTGTTGTTCCAGGCTGGGGAAAGTTACGTGGAAATGCACGGAGAGAACCATTAGACAGACTACGTGTCTCGCGCCTTCCACGTTGGGGTCCAAAAGACTATGCAGCTGGTTGGTTGGAGACACTGAAGGACAAGGCAGCGAACCGACAGTAGTAGTGTTCTTATTGTCACTTCTTAACAGATCAGAATACCTGAAAAAAAATGTGTATTCACAGTTGGATTGTGTGCTTTCTTTTCTCCTCTCTAACCACCTTACATACTCTCATTTACCTTGTACGAATTGTGTTTCGCAGCGATCAGTGAAGACCACTTCACTGTATTTTAGATGTACAATGATAATGATGACGAAGTGCGATTTCTACACAACGCCGCGTTGCTTTGTGGTGCTGGGCAAAGAAAAGCTATCAAGGGAATTCAACTGCTCTGGTTCCCGTTCCGCCAACGAGCAAATCTCAGAATCATTAATTTATGATAAAGACAAGTGCGAAAGATAATAACAATATCTTTTTCTTATCTATCGAAACGAAACCAGTCTTACAGGGAAACTGGAAAACTACTGAATACTTTAAAAGGCTTCATTTGAATTCTTCCAATGCTCCTATCACACAGTGTCAATCCTCTTGTCCAGCATCCACTAATCGCACGCGTACCACGCAACGCAAACACAATCACACGGGAGACGGATGCTAGTTCTTTAATTTTTTTTCCGAAGAACATCATATCGTTTCTCAATTGTCATGTTTCACACAAACCGGTCACCTTGAAACAAAGAGAAACAGAGTTAACAATCCAGGTGTTCTTCACAGCGACTAAACAACACCGTGGACTACTCAGATTATGCGGCTGATATTCACACAATGGGTAAAATAACGCTGTATTTTTTTTCTTCGTACAACTGGACCAATGGTTATGTACACAAGCGAAGAGAATAGCATACAAGTCAGTGTTATTGAATGTATTTCTTCATGAACTTTTTGTGAAATTCCGACCGGAGTGTGTCGTTCACAAAACCCCGTTTGGCATGATCCACTTCACCGCGGGCGCAATTTTTGAAAACTACATCATCATCCCAGCGACGTTTGACCTTGAATTCTGAGCACGGACAAATTGTGAAGGGGGCGGGAAGCATGAGTACAGTGAGTTAGATGGAGAAAACAACAAAGCAAGCGAGTCAATTGGAGAAAACCGATGCGTTGATCAGGGAAAATCGAATGATACTGATTAGAACTCTTTCAAAACCTTTAGCTTCAATCTGGATTATTTGGGTTGATCGTTTTCAAGTCAAGTATGCACTTAATCCCACCCCAGGTGGCGGGAACAAGATGAACATTCAAAAGTTGAACTAGACAGATGGGAAAGAGGGCTTTCCATGTGAGTGTCTGAAACTTTAGGGCAAAATGAACTTCGCTGCAGCCGACCCTAACGAAGGAGTTTATCTTTGGGAACCCTAACCGGAGCTTTCGATTCAAAAGTCTGACCCACAAGGCAGTGAGGAGTAAATCCAACGAGGGAGCGTGAACGAAGCACCCGTGTGGGAGCTTCTGGAGACCTGTGACGCAAGGCCTTCGGGCTTCCGTTAAGTGTGTTGTTCGCTGGTGCGGAAAGTGAACGGGACAGCACCTTGTTGGCTGCCGAGCTTTGGCGGGCGGTAGCTGTCCAATGAAGTACAAAAACTTTTCCTAGAGGAAGCTCCAGGCACCCCGCTCCTACGTCCATCTACCGCAGTTCTTTTTAACCAGTAACCTGCCCATCACCGTGCTTATTTGCTGAAGTGACCTCCTCAGGGGCGGGTGCGGATAGAAGGAGGAAGCCAGGAGGTGCCCAAGCANAGCTGGCCTTGTGAGATTGGTCTTCGTCTGGCCTCTACCCGTTGACCTTTCAGGCATGATTGGATTTGCGGCTGTGGGAGCCATCCTGTGCAGCTCGCAGGGTCATGGAGGCCGGCAAGCCATCACACCGCATGAAGATGCAATCTTGTCGTGATGGGCATTCAGCAGAACGCACTCAACTGCAGCAGTGAAACAATGAGCTACGAACAGAGAGAGGAGGAGGAGAGAAAAGGTATACGACAACCGGAATTTCAGTTTAGACACAATTATCGAGTAAGATAAAGACCGACAGTAGATTTGTATGCAAGTAGATGTTTTCGGAATCCGGAACAAGTGCTTGATGATGAGCGTGACATACATTTACTCAAGCTAGAGTGAAGAGTGTGCGTGTGTGTGTGGGATCGATAGACTCGGAACGTTTCTGCAAATTTTCTTTGCATGTAGGTGTTGGATAACCACTGAATTAAAGAAAATAGGTCAGAGGTTATTACCTCGGTTTGAAGTCCCTAAATATACTGTTGCAGAAGCATAGAGCAGAAGGATTCTCTGACTAAAGGCAACACCGAGGTAACTGGCCGGTCGAAGGTTCATCCCTACACAGACAGACAGACAGATCAGAAGGGAAAGAAGCGTGGACAATCTGATTGCATCGAGTACCGTTCTGTAATCTGTGCATTTAAAAGGGTTCACAGACAGGTTTCTATTTTCAAATCGATGGATTATTTGTGCGATAGTCCACAGCAGTTTGGGAAAAAATAGTCATCCGAATAGGGTGACCTACAGGATTTTCATACAGTAGTCATAAATACAAGTGTGTGCCACTCTATCGATTCCACTAGGTCACGATCCATTCAGTTGTCCTGTTTAACCACACACAATTGTGCAATGAATAGCACAAACAGGGGAAATTGCCAGGTGGCAAACTCTGTGTGTGACTCGGAAGAGAAAGGTGTGATATGGAGCCAAGACATAGAGGCGCTGGCTAGTGGCCAAGTTAGATGATGGTGGTAGGATTTTAGCGTCGGAGGCTGAACTCCGGAGTAAGTCGATGATAGCGATTTAAAATGCCCTACGAAGAATTTCGTTAAAATCAAAAACCAATGGAGAGACGTATGGTTGTCAAAACAGCCCAACAGAGCACATTTCAAACAAAAAAGAAAAGAGTGACGAACAAGCTCGTTTTCAGAGTTTCGTATTCATGCCAATGCGTCTCAATGTATCTCACTACTTGAGGATAAGATTGTTTTGAGAAAATAAAATGAAATCATACAGTGTTAGAAACGATTTCTTCATTAGACCGGAAATCTGTCTCATTACGATCAGAAATTTCGAAAAAGAAACTCGTCGTGTATAGAGCAAATGCTAGGAAGCACTGTATAGCTGTCTCGACTTGTTTGAGTTCAATCAGCAGTGCGAAAAAACGGTCCGATCAGCTACCCGGTGAGAGTGGGTAGCATGCTTGCGTTCTGCCTGTGGGGTCGTAAGTTTGATCACACATTTGTTTGCATACTCATGCGAGCATCGATATTATTCGTGATACGGTGTGTGTGGGGTGGACCAGGGAAGCTTTAGCTCCGGCACAAGTTGTTTTTGGGCACACAGAAGAGGGTTGTGCAGACGAATGTACACCGCTTCTGCTGTGGCCAGCATCCGACAGCGAACCTGCCTCGATAATCGCCCACGAACTTTGTACAGGGGTCGGAAAACCTCGGGCACGTCCACAATGTGATTTGTTTCAGCTAGGTGTGAAACCACTGCACTGGTGAGTGACTTAATTGTTCCGGTGTTCACGAATCCTTTCAGACAAACACCTAACCATGCGGCCTATGGCTAACGCATAAACTATAGCGAAAAGTGAGAATAGCGTCAAAGAAAACACCGGCTTGGATGGTCCGTAGGGCGAAACTAACTGGTAAAAAACAACTCACCGGTTAATCAGTGTAGCTATACAGGGGAGATTCGTCGTATACGATCGGGATGGAGCTATGCNACTTAGTCCAATAGGGGACACAAAAGTCAGACAGATTGGACGCAAAAAAATTGAAATAACTTTCCCGTACTTTTGGCTGATAAACAACCCTATATCATTCAAATAGTGAGACAAAATACATTGGTTAGGGTAGTTCTACACCGGATGCACATAACTGCT